TCGACTAGCCCGTGCTGCGTGACACGCGAGTCAGCTACGCCTTCAATCACGCATCAGTTTCTGATTGCTTGATCTAGCTGCTGCGCTCAAGACGCCGCGTCTACCTAGGTCGAGACTCGTACTCAAATACGTTCATGGGCCGCTTCTGAAGCATCAAAGTGGGGGAGCTGCAAGGCATGTCTCGAGGAAGCAAGACGGTGTTCGTCGTGTCTCTCAGCCATCTTCTTCGACAGCATGAATCCACACTCGAGACTCATTGCATTGCCCCTAAGCCAGCATCAAATCACTGCAAGCTGGCTTCCATCGATATATGCGCTTTCAATCGTGAATAAGCCAAACCGGATCGATGCGAAGAATTAAGAGGTGTGGGCCAGCCATTCAAATGGTGATTACATATGTGTTCGACTCGCGGTCTGAGTCGTCAGTCATCAGTGTGAGTGTTGTGTAAGTGTTGTGTAAGTGTATAGGCATCATGGCAACACGCGCTCGGCTGGAAGTCCGGACGCCACAGGTATAGCACGGGAAAAAGTCCGAAGCCACTTCGTTCACCGATATATTCACGATTGAGTGGTGATGGAGTGTGAGTGTGCTTTGAATTTCGGCTTACCCTTATTCAACAGTGCTGCACACCTACACGTAGGGTCAGAGATGCCGCTCTTATGTCTTTCAAGCATGAATCAACTGCCCTCCCCTCCTCAGCCCGAGATAGGTCCAGTCCAAAACTTATGATGTCAGCGGATGCCGGCATAGTGGTAGCAGTAGCCACGAGTCACGAGTCATGAGTGTCGAGAGGCCTGCATAGCTGCTAACTTTGACTGCAACCCAGTCACAAAAGTCGTGAGTGAATCGTGAATAATCAAGAATATCTTGATGAATCGTCAGTTGCCCGTTAGAAGCACGCGCCAACCCTCCTCCACGGCTTTACCGACAGGCGTGCAGCCGGCGAGAGCGACTGCTGTGTGGAGACGGAGAGGGATAACGGATGTGGAGGCGCAGGTCCGGCGTCTTAACTCCGTAGACCCCGCGAGAAGGCCAGCTTGCGGTACTTCCACGATTGTCAACACCCTCCAACTCAAGACTCACAAAGGGTAGCCGCTTTGAGTGTGTTCTTCTTTCACGCCATCTTCTCGAGCTCGATCGGTACAAAGACATTCAAGACGTTGAACTTAGACATCTGAAAGTCGCTCCATCGAATCGTTGTTACATTTCCAAGACCTTTCAGCATGTCAATTCCGTCCACTCAGACAGCGTGGCACCTGCCAGAAGTGTCTCAGCGCAACAGCCCTTCGGCATTGAGGCAGGTCAAGGATGCCAAAGTGAAGCAACCTGGACCAGGAGAGGTCCTGATCAAGGTGCATGCCGTCAGTCTCAACTACCGCGACTTCAGTAAGTGTGTGGTCAGGCTCGAGGGGACGCGCGCACCCTTTGCTAGAACCTCTCATTCCTTGCAGCTGCTGAACAGACCTCCTCGTCCACGCCTGCAC